AGAACCTGCCGTTCATTCCGGAAGCGTGTGGAGGCCGTAATTGCTGCAAGTGGAAACTCGATCGATGATTAACAGAGTTTAAGACTCTGAGAAACTTTCCCCCTTTGAATATTAAAAAAAACTCGAAAACGAAATTGTTGAGGTTTTTTTAATTTAGACATTGCTCAATGGTGCAAACATTATCACGCATACGGTAGAGACATTCCCAGGTATTTTCAGCACACAGATCGATAAAAGAAGCTTTTATCTAGCATCTAATACGACAAACACAACAATAAACGGTTATTATTAACGGAAGAGAAAATCGACGAAGAGAAGCGATCCATGCTACTAAGGACCTAATGCAATGTTCAGCAAGAATATTATCTGAAATTTTTTCAATGTAGTGCTGTAAGCTGTAACAGGTTTTATTGGCTATCAAAAGCAACAGCAAACGCACCGAAACATGTTAATCCAAGCGAGTTATTAACAAAAGAGCAAATCGATCATCGCGATTACGTCTCTATGTATGCTAACTGTCGAATTTGTAATATTTTTTAGTTATGGAAGTCACTTTTTCCCACCACAAAAACGCCTCGTGTTCTTATGCCAAATGATACATGTGCGTCTACAAAACGCGAATGAAATCTTTCCAAAAAACAGCAATATTTAGTTTTTTTTTTTGTCGATCGGTAGATAAAACATGTAAAGATTTTGATCTAATTTCCGTCCTACTAAGCACAACCCGTGCTTTACCTCTCTTTCCTGAACAAGTTTAAACAAATAATTGAATATTTCTGTCAAAGATGACTGTTAAATTTATTCACCTTTCCATACGTACCGTTGTATTTGATAAAGAGTCACAAATTGTTGAGATATTGTCTAAAATCCAATACTGCTTTTTGATTCTAAATTCGTCCTACTAGTTTCAATTCCGTCCAAACGCATTGAAACGCTATTAGCTTTTCTTCGTCCTACGGATAAACGTAGAAAAAGGGGATTCGCTAGGAGCGCTTCTTTTGTTTTGAGAACAATGAGCGTAAATATTCATACAATGCGCTTTAACAGGATTAATGAACTAACGCATCGTAACAAACCTATTATTGATTTGTACACGGTGAAATCATTGATATTATTGATCTTTTCTGATCGATAGAACGGAAATGGGCGATTACGACGAAGTAGCGCTCTACCCTACCGAGAACTTCTTGGAGGGATTTATGGCTAATCGAGATCATCCCGATCAACTAAGAAATGTTGCATGACATTGGTGCAAAATTGTGCACTCCGTTTTTGTGTGTGATTTTTTTTAGCGTTTTGAAGTTGAATCGCTATGGAAACGTTATTTCTGATCAATCTCAGTTGTACCACACACAATTTCAACAGCACAAATATCAGCTCTCACAAAACTTATAACAAAGAAACTGGAACTTCACGATTGCTGCAGTGCAGTACACAAGGAATTTCAATTTCATGAGTGATGTCATAACCGTCCAAGATTTGTGTCTTAGCAATCTTGAAGTGATAGGAAATATCAGCCGTCATGACGGTCATTGTTTGACGCTTCAATGAATAACCTAAAGAATGTCCTACTCATATCTGATTGTAATTTAGGAACCAATTGTAATAGAATATGTATTCGCATTTTTATGAGGTCCAACTTTTACTAAGTAGGAAATCCAAAATATATTCATAGAACCAAAACCATAGGTTACTTCTACTGTATTCTAAATCAATATCTAGAAAAATGCACGAGAATTTCACTACACAGCTTAACGTAGTCTACGTCAACCATGCGGTCGTGTCTTATACACAACCCAACCAATTATTTTTTTTTGTCATCGTTTGGACAGCTAGAACCAAAGTTAAGTGAAATTCAATAGTTTCCCATAGTAATTCACCAAAATATCCATTTAAATTCAAACAATTTTCTAAACTTTCATGAACCTCAAAGACTCATATTTTATGGTTATGAATACAACTGGAGGGTGGGAACTATTTGAATTACGAGGAATTATGGTAAGTGATTTTAATTTAATCTTACGCTGTTTCTTTTATGATTAGCGCTGTCACTCTGCCTCCCGGACGTTTATACGTGTGTGATTGGTTCACTTGCAAAAAAAAAAGTTTTTTCGAACGAAATTGTTTTGTGTCCCGGGCGCGATAATTTGACTTGAACGGCGCTGATCTATTGTTTACTATGTGCATTGCTTTGGTGCACAGAGTGACTAGAAAAAGAAAAGTCCCGTCTTGGGCCGCGGCCGGAGTGGACGCGACGCGACCAATTGAAGAGAATCTTATTATTTTTTTATTAACGTCGTGTAAGAATAGAATTTAATGAGGGAATGGGCGCTTTTTTGTTTCCAGGTTTGGAGGATCGTTGGTGGTAGAGGCTTGTTCTTGTGTGGGGGGCGCCGCCGTGGAGTTTGAGTTTGAATGGATCCCGGGTCCTATTATATTATTATTATATATTCAATAATACATATTTAAAAGCAAAACAAGCTGAAAGAAGCAAAGTAACATTGTTTGATTTTCTCTAATGTATGCATACCGTTTATAGTGCAATTAACCTTTCTATTTTTCCTTTCTAGGAGACAAAATTACATTACTTGTTGATATATTTATTGGTATACTTGTAAATACTTATTTAATCAGATTCGGAATATGAGTGATGAGGGAACTTATTGTGTTCGCGAGTCCTCCGTTTAGGCTGGATTTATTGATTTAAATCCTTAAGTTTATTTTCAGCTCTTCGATGATGGAACATTTTTAAATTAATATTATAATGATTCACTTTTATCAGCCTTCGTTCAGGAAAATACAAAAACATTGTAATGCATGATTACAATTGCATGAAAACTGTTAGCTGTCCAAATAACCTCGATTTTTCTGACTATTGATTCTTTATTAAAGCTTACCAATATTTTAAAAAAAGCATTCCATATTGCGTTAAACCATTCTATGGTGCATAATAAAGAGTTTGTTCAATTCCAATAAAATATCAAAAAAACATAATAAAAAAATGTACTGCGGTTAACTTAAATTGAGCTTATGTGTATTTTGTAATACTTGTTTATTTTACATTCATTATATTTTATATATTGCATGACTAGTAAATTATTTTTACTTCACATATTTAAAATCTCATTATATCATTATAACTATAATTTTCATTTACAGAAAATAGTTGTCCTGCAGATACTGATGGACCAGAAGGTGTATCAAATAGCAAATCATTGTTATTTACATTTTATTTTATTATTATATAATATGATATATGGTTTTCAGAATTTGGACTACCCAGAGAATAAATTGAATATCATCATACATTAGGCCAATGTTTTTAATTTGTTTTACTTTTGCAGAATTTTGCTCTTTCAAGAATTATTCATTGATACTTGTTTTATAAATCTTGTATGCTCAAATATCCTCGACTATGTAGCAAATTGATTCTTTATTTAAATTGTGGATTAATTAAATAGGTAAAGTTGAGTTCAATCATACCACGGCCAATGATTATAAATAACAAAACTTGTTTATTTTTTTTATATGTTGCATTTCACTACATATATTATATAAATTATACATTGCATGATGTACTATTACTATTAGCTTAATATTCCAGTTACCCAAGCAAGTCATCGAAATTAATATGAAGCTGATGAAGCAGAGGAAATAACAACATTAAATAAGATTATATTTTTCGTCTGTTAGTTATTCATCACAATTTTTAGCATTATTGTTAGCACCATTCGAGCAAAATATATTTAATTGCCTTATATACCCTATACATTTCAGTGCTGCATCCACCTGCCATTGTAAGCTGAAAAGGTATATAGCTGCATCTTATTATATGTAAAATACTTCTTCATTGCAGTAGTAACTATATTATCCATATAAAAGTATTTCATTATGTCATATTTTAATGTTCTGATATATTTCATTTCTCCAATGCATATATTTTCATTATATAAATAAATACTGGGTTGGGAGGGAGCATCAGGGTATCATTCTAACTGAAACTGGACGATGGTATGATTGACAGCTGGAGTCTAGGAGGGAATAAACCCTATCATTTTCTTTATCCTACCGATTCGATTGTGGTGGTGTGAATTCTACTCCAACAGTTTCAGGGCGATTGACGCGCCCTTCTTAACAAACCATCCAGTAGGAAGCTTAATAAGTATTGCGAATTGTGTTATTCGATTTGTTGGAGCGTATCGTTGGAAGGAGATTCTTAAATTCCCGTGGATTTCGCGTGAGTGTCTCTGCTTACGGGTCCACCCTTCCGTTTTTGACCCTTCATACAGCGATATAGTGAATTCAGATCGGTAGCTCAAATTGATCTTGCTATTAAGTGGAGCTGCATCCAAGACAAGTCTTGAAAGGATGGTGGCTACCTTACATACATACATACATGAATACAACTGGAGAGTGGCCGATCTCGTCGAGTTGAGTCGATTGGTATATGACATTGGGCCCCCGGGCCTTGGCTTAAAAGTCGGATTTCTAAGCGATGTATCTTTGTAATAAGGGTAAAACATGCACGAGGAGGCATGAGTTATGATTAATCGTATTATACGATGATAAAAACTTAAATGGATCCCAAACAGTAATCCTCCGTCAAATATACGTCTCCATAAATAAATATGTCTAGCCTCTACTCAACAGAACTGGCCTCAGTATCATCATCGAATAAACCGTACACGGGAAGGATATCGCATAACCTTATGATACACTGAAGGATTCCACCCTCCAGCATGCAATGGAAGTTCATTCATATGTGTATTAGCGTAGAGCATCTCCCCCTAACCGAGGTGGAATACAAATTGACTACCGTTGGGAGAACAGCCGAGCGAATTTGTCAATGGGTTCATCAAAATGATTTGAATTGCAGGAAAATTGTGTTCTGGGTGGGGAATAGCGATGAGTGAAGGAATAAAATTGAGTTAAACTGACTGATTATGTTTCCACGTAACAATTTCTTGCAGATGTAATCAACAATATTTCGTTATTTTCAGGTAGCGTGGATGCACTTCGAGCAGTCTGCTATTCTCACTGTACATAACCATGTGATTACGCGAAATCCACGGATCAGCGTGACACATGACAAGCATGACAAGCACAAAACATGGTTCCTACACATATCAAACGTCCAGGAGGAGGACAAAGGCCGTTACATGTGCCAAATCAATACCGTGACGGCCAAGACACAGTTTGGCTATCTGCACGTCGTCGGTAAGTTTCTCTCGTTTTATTTTTTACAACAACGTAAAAATCGACCAAAAACATTAGTAATGAAATCTGCTAGTCGTCGGAAGAAAGCAGAACTAGATAATTCAATTCAGATTGCGCTCTCGGTGCGACACTTCTCCTCCTAATCACGTCGTCGCTTGAAATTGTTTTCCGCTACGAAATCGATATTCTATTCAATCACACGATTTCGTCCTCGTCGTTGCCGTCGTCGGCTCATTCCAGATGTTATCGTAAGCTGCTGCAGCTCCCAGAAGGAAGCCAGAGATTAACGATTTTATACCACCCGATGGTACTCAGTAACAAACCGTTGTTGTACAGAGTGGATTTAGTCAAATTCAATCGATGACGGTACGACGGTAGGGATGGGAAATTGAATTCAAGGTATCATGTCTACGGCGGGAAAACGGAATCATTGGATGGAATAGAATGGGAATCATTGCTCTTTAAATTGTTTTGAATTTGTGGAATAATGGTATTAGTAAATCAAATTAAGCGTAACATGAGGATAGCAAATGTCCATTAGGGCGGGTCAACTTTACATCCGCTGCTCGTTTGGTTTGCATTGATGGCACCAAGCACTGTCTTAAATTTGCTATCTACTTTAAAATGGGGAAATGTAAGGGAAACATGATTTAAATAATAATTTACTATATTAAAAATACACTATCCTCGGGTATTGTTTATATCTGATATGACTTTTGTGTAGAATTATTAGTTATTTATCACAAAATTTCTAAGCCATGGACACAGAAGCACATACTCCCATTGAATCCTATTAATTTTATCCCGGTCAGACATTTAGTTCCGGAGAGTGGAATAACACAATAAAACAGAGAAACGAACTCACTTTTCTCGGAGAGGATTGCACCGATTTAGGTGCAACAGGTTCCATTTTGTTCGTATATAACTTCCATAGAATCCTGATTAGACATTTGGTTCCGGATATTCGAACAAACAAGTGAAATTCTACAATCACTTTTCTCGAGGATGGTTGGATCGATTTGTGTATAAATCAGGGCTGTGGAGTCGGAGTTGGAGTCGACAAGTCGGAGTCGGGGGGAATTTTACGGACTTAGGAGTTTTTTCCTTGATTTGTTTTCCGTCGATCCTGTTTTCCGTGCTGAGCACCAATTCTACCGACGCCAGGAAGGCAGATCCCACACATGGACCCTACCTATCGACTCATCAACTCATGAACCGGGGACCAACGGCTTTACTTCCCTTCCGAAGGAAGGCGTGATCAGAGATGTTATGCCTCAAAACATCCCGGCGGCACCGACTGGGATTGAACCCAGGCCTGCTGGGGTGAGAGGTAATCACGCATACCACAACACCACCGGCGCCGCTATTTTGCCAAATAATGATATTTGTCATGATGATATTTGTCATATTTGTTTACCTAAACCATTACACTTGTCTGATATTTGGCAAATATTTGACCACACATTATTTGACCAAATACTACGATTTGGTAATCAGTGTTCACTCGGCTGTTGACAGAAGCAAACCACTCTCAATGTGTGTCCCGCGATCGTCTGTTTACTCGGCAACAACCATTGTGTGGTCCTCCTCATTTTTCTTCATCAGCAGTTCTTTAAGTCGATGCGTCGTCAACTTTGGAAAGCAACCGTTTCGTGATGAATGTGTGAGTGCTGACCACGTTTTGCGTCCATTGCTGCAATGGAAGCGCTCTGACCCCCGTTGGCGAATCTGCCATACAATGAAACCACTGGAACAGGTGAAGGATGCTTATTGGATAGCAGAAGATAAATTGTTGATTGTGTTGTACCTTTTGACAATAGTTTTAAGATGTATTGTATAGTGAACAAGAATCCTCGGCTTTGTAAAGCTAATTCGGTTGAGACTTATCAAATAAATTATTAAAAATAAAAATACGATTTAGTTATTTGACCAGCAATTTGTCAAGATATCTGTTGACGTATTACAATATTTGCAGCTGAACGACATTATTTATTTTACTAATCTCAGGCCTCGTTCCAGACTGGAGATTATATGATCCATATCAGGTTTGGAGATCGAATGATCATGAGTTCATTCTAGGTCCTCTGGAATCGGTTCTAGCACAGGTATATGCAAAAGTTTTTCTTGGAGCATTCTGAAAATGGTTAACCAGACGTTAAAATTGAGGAAGGTAATTATTAACGACATTTCTCCATTAATCATGGGGTCTTATGGACTCTTTTGAGATGCCCAACATATATCCCAAAGAAACTATCCGAGAAGTGCTATGAACTCCTCCGAGGTAGTTTTTTTTTTCTATCAAATAAATCCTTTTCTCCAGTTTATTTGATCAGAAATATATGTCAGGGGAACCGGTCCAGCATCCGAAAGAGACCTTTAATGGTACATGGACTTGATCCAGAACCGATTCTGAAGGAGCTTGTCCAGGAGATGATAAAAAAAGTTCATATGTACTCCCAAAGGATTTGTGGAGGACATCGTTTGCTTTTCAATCAAAAATGCATTTGAATTGCTAGGGAAATTAACAAATTCTCGTCAATCTAAGCAGCTTCCGCACTTCTATTAATATTTTCTCAGCGTCACGCACACATATGCCGTGTTTGTTTGTTTACATTTATCTACGGCTCTCCTTTTCAATCGACAAAATTGTTCAAAACTGTTTGAAAGCGTTTTATCAACGCTTTTCTTCGGCAAACTATACATTTGAACTGCGTGTTAACCAGCTGATCTACTATCGGCAACTCGAAATCAGCCGAATTTTGTAGTGCGTATATTTCATTTATAGAAAAATCTGCCATAACCGAATTGCTCTGCCATAAAAATGAAATCGTATTGAAGCTGAAAGACTAAGGAATCTTTTGAATATATTCAGCGAATTTTTTGATGGGAAAATACAGTGAAATTAACGTTTAAACTTTCATTGCCGAAAACAGTCAATGGATGCCAAAGTCGACCTTCACACAATGGCACATCACATAAATTGTCTATTCCAGTGGTCCAGGTCCAGTTGAAACAGTTGACATTTTTTACTACACTCGCTTCGTTGTCGTGCGCGACAGTCTGTTTGTATTCGAACACTCATGCTCTACCGTCGTCTCTCTCACACAACACGAGCGGTAGAATAACATTCGAGCTAAAAGAAAATGATCAAAATAGCTATCATATGACATGTGTGATTTCGTTGTAATTCCTCAATTTGGTGTAAATCAAACCATTTCTGATCAGAAATATTATTACTAGGACATCATTGCTGGCTATTTTCAGAATTCACACAAGCACACCATCAGCAGCTCTTATTATGAGAAAAACTAAAATACATACATTCGTGACGGTCTTCGGCGACAGTGTCGTATGACAGAGCCTGTCATATGACATTTTAGTTTGGTACTGTACTATGATAGCTTGTTTTGCAAGTGTCGGAGGCAAAGGCAGTCAATTATCACAGAAAATGTGTTGACTACCGTGACCGCTTACAAGACTGAGTACCATCACAGCAAGCGACGATTATTCGATGTTGTTTGCTACTCAAGAATTTCAAGAATTTCAAGATTTTTTTGGCTGTAAATACAAAAGTTATCACACTATTTTATTAATTGTCAACTAAATGGAATGACAAATACAAACCAAATATTTGCCATAGCAATATATGGTCAAATATATATGTCAAAATTTTCCAAATATTTGACAGCTTCAATGTGATCCAATTATTACATTATTACTTTTTCTGTAAATTTTGCGTGGTTGATGTATGTTTTGAAATTCATCGATTGATAAAATAATAAGCAACATCTTCGTGTACAGATTAATTATTTAAATTGAATTATGAGCTGAGGATTATTAGCTGAAAAATTATCTGACATCATATGCACAATGTTAAAAATACTTAGGACATGTTTTATCACAACATGTATTAGGGTGGTGAGATATGTTGCGAAAATGGTGAAATAAAATCCAGTGCTTACAGATCGAACCCACACCTCCCAGTACGCTAGACGGTGCAGTGATGTCATAGAAGCGGTCAAACTCCCCTACTAAGCGGAATGTGATTCATCATTCTCGCATCACACTCAAACCATCACATTTTCTCTTCAATGCTGCAAATATTCGCATCAATAAACACTCAGTACCAATATTTGAGAGATTTAACTCAAAATGTTCATTTTCCTACCAGGCTATCACTACAAATAGGACAGAGGCAATAACAAAAATGGTCCGACTCAACTCAGCGGCAGAACAGACAAATGCTTAGAATGTGTTCATCGAACCAGACTAAGCTTAACTTGACCTTAATCGTTCTAATTCACCATGAAGCTAGCACTTTTAGTTTGAATTTTGTATGGGGAATTTGGATAAAATACATGAAAAAATGACACACCTACACATCATAAAAAAAATCCTTATTCTCGATTTGATTCATATTTTCAAAACAAGTAGTTCAATTGATGAGTAACAACTTTGTTTAAGATTGCATCATGAATCCAGTCAGTTTTATTGAGATATTCGCTTTTGAAAGTATATGAGCATTTTGTATATGAAAATTTCAAAGAAATCTGCCATATGAACATTAAACATAATCCAGCTTGCTGAACCAGTTCAATGTACGAAAGAGTGATGGAATGTTATTTCTCCATATATTTCAACCAATATCCGAATGTTACATCCGAATGAGCTGAAATTTTCAGAGAGTATTTTTCTCACCTAATGGCACAAATCTAGGGGTTGACCCGTTGAAAAAAAAATATGAAAAATTTCCCCCAAATAAATGTGGGCCAGCCCATTCAAACACACATTGGCTAGGGGCAAGACAGCTTTCAATCATGAGTAATTTTCGTGCAAATCTTGAGTAACTCTGAGTTACTCGCGTTGCTCAATAATGAATATCGTTGTCAAAATGAAAATTTGTATTGCACCAACTCAGTTGAACAGGTTTCTCTTCGTATTTACACATTTGTGGTTCTGCTCAAGCAAAAATAAACAACAGAATAGTTCTTGATGATCTAGGAAGAATGAGGCTACAATTTATCGACTATATAAGTTATAACATTATCCTTATCGTTACTACCGAATGTAATAATCATTTCTCGTAATCCATGATGAAGTTCGTTTGATCGATGTTGGAACATAGACAAACATTTTCAGTTTACATCAGTATCTATACATGAAATAAATTGTTCTACCAAGAGGCTTGAACGGGGGCCTTTACCTTCCAGCTCCACGGCAAACAAAGGGTACTATATGTATGGACCAACCACAACGTCCATTGACACTTCAAGCAGACAATTCAATATGAAGTGTTTGTTTCGCATCAACTAACTAAGTACTCGCGACCGTTAAATAATACATAGCCCTTTATTTATCAAACCAAAACATGCAATTAAAGGTTTATTAAGCTTATCACTAATTTGTATTTGACTTAAACTAAGAACAACGTATCGAATTAAAATGCCGTCGTGGGTATCCTGCCCGTGCAATACAGTGATCTGGTTGAGGTGGACTGATCATTGGCCCGCACGACCGTTTTAGGTAGTTCAGTCCTCCTTCGATGCGATGATTTTCTTCGGGTAGTGAGAGCTGGTGATATTCTCAATGCTCTTATCACTTATCTGATTTGGTCATCCTCATCACTCCTATGTGTAATCGGTGGCGATCGATGACGATGATGACACTGATGATGGCATGATAATGGCTTCACTAGTACGTAGTGGGAGAGAGGTAATCCAATGGTACTGCTCAAGATCTTCTAATCAGAGTGAGGGTCTTGATCAACCGAGGTGGTGTGTTGGACGATAACTGTTTGATTATGACAGGGTAGTAGTTGGATGGACCATGAACTCATCAACAAGGCTATTATAAAGAAAAAATAACTTAATTGCCATTAAGAAAACTGCTCATATTAGCTCAGAGTATAGCTGACTTGCCCCTAGGCCGGGACCAATAGCTTAACTTTCCTTCCAAAGGAAGACGTGACCAGAGACTGTTGTTCCTCAGAAAAATCCCACCGACCTCGATTGGGATTTAACCCACACCCATTGTGGTGAGAAAGCACGTCACGCTTACCACTACACCACCGGCGCCGGCAACACATATTTAATCATTAAACTAAACTTTATGGTAATAGATACATGCTGCACAATAAACAATGTTAAGTATGCAACAATTGGCAAATTGTTCTAAATACTGTTGTTGGCCACAGACACGTACTAATCACACACACAACATTTAGCCTAAAAAAAGCTTCGTCCCGGAATGAAGCAAGGATACTTCCGGCGCAGCTCATCGATGAAATAGCACTATCAAAGAGAACTGTCACATTGTACACGCTCACAAAGTTTCAGTCAAACATGAATGAGTTTTACACGAGAAATTCAGGACATGTCCTGATAAATCAGGACGGATGGTATCCCTACAAATCCAGAGCTAATCGAGCAGCGCCTATCTTGAATGCATTGGCAGTGTTGCTAGAACCCACCCAAGCCTATGTTGCCAAGGCAGTTTGTTTTGGATCCACTCCTCTCTTATATCTACTAGACCCTCTCTAGTCAGGTTCATTGAAAAACAAAAGGGAAATGCCTTCTTTAACACGAACACAAAAACTTTGATAACGTAGGAAGATAAACTAGGAACACAAAACAATTTCCGGAAACGTGACATCAAGCGTCACAATAATGTATCGATTTTCGACACCGACTAAGTTATTGACAACCTATCGAACGTTCCGCGCCAAAATGCCACACTCACTTCACACGTTGATGATGCAAAGATGCAGCAAAAAAAACTCAATTTAAATTCAAATCGCATTAGGATCATTGCCATCATCCGAGACATAAATACCTGGAACGAGCATCGTCATGGACCGTCTGTTCTCCGCAGCATCGCAACGCTGCGCTAGTGCCGCACCACGATTCGTTGATGCTTGACAACCACTAAAGCAAAAGAAAAATGTTCCTCCGACTACTGGTGTGCAAAGAAAGAACTAGGAACTCCCGCGTCCGCAGGAATCCGAGCTGGGCGTCAAAAGCCAGGAAGCACGTCAGTCAGACTTTGGGCCGGGGGAAAACAATTTCAAAATAAACATTTATTTATTTTCATTTCCTGGCAGCTCCAAGAACGAAGGGCAAAAAATAACGAAGTTTTTCCGTTCTTCTCATCATCCATTCCTTCCTCGGTAGCACCGGTGTACCGGAAAATTCATCACCTCATTTTTCATGATTCGATTCCTGGCCGACTTGAGCTGGGAGTCCCGTTTCAAATATGTGTTCATTCGTTTCTGACTTCTTGTTCTTCTTTTTCTTTTTCTTCTTCTCATTGCAGTGCCACCCAACATCGACGATTCGCTCAGTTCCAGCGACGTTATTGTCCGGGAGGGATCCAACGTGACGCTGAAATGCCGCGCCACGGGAAGTCCAATGCCACAGGTCAAATGGAAACGGGACGATAATTCTAAAATAGCTATTAATAAGTCGTTAAGTGGTAGGTATCGACGACGGGACGGTTCATGCTGGTGTTTGGGGGGGAAGAACAGGATTTCACGGTAGGAAATTTGTTGATTGGCAATTTGGGAAGTGCGATCGGTGTATTCATGATGTTCTCCGATAAAAAGTGAAGATTGTATTTTGAGTTATACTGTAAAAATTGTTATTTTTTTTTTTCAACCAACGCCACGATGTCTTGAAAACGAACTCGAGAACCCCGTTTTTTCCATTCAAACCCCAGAAGTGGCAATACCAGCATCTTCGACAAACGGAGAACCGACCACATTGTCCGCATTAATAAATTTTCCTTATTTTCTTCTTTCACACGCTGTTGTCGCTGATGGCCCCCCTCTCCCCCAGTGCTCGAGTGGGATGGAGAATCGGTGGAGCTATCGAAAATCTCCCGCCTGGACATGGGTGCATACCTCTGCATTGCATCGAACGGTGTCCCACCCACGGTGTCGAAGCGGATTAAAGTCAGCGTTGACTGTAAGTACCAACGAACCAAACCCTTATGATATTTCCGCTGGTAAAGCACATTGTTCCGAGCGAAAAGAAGAAAAACCGAAAACGACGAACGAACACTCGGGAAAGGGATTTAATTTCACCAGCAATTTAAATTAAATTCATTTGCATCACATTAAAATTACCCATGTAGATGACAGAGGAAGGCTTCCCGGCAAAAGGTTGCACTTGATGGTACTAAATGGTGTTCTTGTGCGCTGGAAGGTGACTGTTCGCCGGAAAGAAACCAGGGGAAATATGGAAATTAAGGGATTGTAATGAACCAGTTGCTTCCGCTGCGGTGGAACTGAACGGATTAAGTGGAAAGTCGTTAAATTTGTCACCTTTCCGGAGGGATAATTGGGGAGTATTGTTAACACAGCGAATGATGACAATCACGGTGGAAGTCAGAAGCTGCTGCAAGAACAATGATAATTGATATCGTCACTTTTCGGAGCTACTGTGTTTTCGGAGCAGTGGTGTTTGAGTACTTCGCATTGGCGTGCACAGGGTGGGGCAAGGTGGGGCAATTGCCCCACCTTTTATAAATAAATATATTGCCTGAAAATTGCACCACAAAGGTGCATGAAGAGACAAACTTCAATGAAATTTTTTGGTAAAAAAACTGCACCACATTCCGAGTGTAATTTTTTTTTTCAAGGTTGTTCATGCAGGATTAAAAGAAAAGGGTAAATTGAAAAAATTCACCTTCGTGGTGTTAATTCGAAGAAAAAGCTTTTTATTGAATATTTCTGGTGTAAAAATATTATCAAGGCGGTGCATGGAGGGACTAATCAAAATGAATAACTCTGGTGCACATTTATCTGAAAATGTCTGGTGCAAAGTTCGCAACACTGTGGTATGTAATAGCAAGATTTATTAATTTTTTTGTGCACAATTTGCATCGTTCTGATGTATGCAAGCTTGATTGAAAATGTATGGTGGAAAATTTGCACCATTCTGGTGCATGAAGAGTGCATGGTGAAACAAACTTCACTGACAATTTTTGGTGCACCGTTCTAGTGAATGGAGGAGCATGCTCTATTGAAAATTTCTGGTGCAAAATTTGCACTAGTCTGGTAAATGAAGGCACAAGCTTTATTTAAAATTAAGCTAAATTGTAGATTTTTGGTGGAAAATCTGCACCGGCAAGCTTTTTGGATTTTTTTGTTTTTAAATTTGCATTCTTCTGCTGAATAGAGAAACAAATTTTAATAATAATTTCTGGTGTAACATATGCACCATTCGGATAATTGGAGGGAAGCTGCTTTACTGAAAATTTATGATAAAAAAAATCCGAAAATAGAGGCAAACTTTATTTGGTGGAAAACCTGCAAAACATGCTGATGATAGGAGAAGCCAGCTATATTGAAAATGTTTGGTGGAAAATGGAAAAAGGAAATCTGCACCAATCAGAATACTGGAGAAGCAATTTTTATTAAACATCAACGGTGGAAAATTTGCATCGTTCTGGTCAATTGAAATTTTCTGGCCTAAAATTTTCTGGTGGCAAGTTTGTTTTGAAAATTTCTGGTGTAAGATTTGCAACATTCTTCTGCATGGAGGGGCAAGCTGAATTGAAAATTCCTGATGTAAAAATGGCACAGTTCTGGTGAATGGAGGCAAGCTTTATTGAACATTTCAGGTAGAAAAACTACGACGTTTCGGTGAATTAACGGGCAACTTAAATTGACTTCAAAGAAGAGCCTCATTGAATTAGGAGGACAGTTCCAAAAGAAAAGATTTCTGGGGATGATTTCATAAAAATTCAGCGAATAATTTCTAGTGAATCCTGCATATAGTTCCAAGATAATTTCGAAAAGAATACCGAGAGCATCAAATTTTTAATGAAATTCCAATGGGATGTTGAGGAAAGTTTCAAGTGAGTTCCGAGGATAATTTTAAGCTCATTCTGGGAAGAATTTCTGGAGAATACAGAGGAACTTCTTCTGAAAGTTTAGGGGAATTTCAGTTCCAAGGTGTTCTGAGAACCTCAAGCATATTGAATGCTTAGGACAGTTCCAAAATATTTCTGGGAAGAAATCAAAGAAAATTCTACCGATAATTTCTAGTGCATCCTGCAGATAATTCCAAGATAATTTCGAAAAGAATACCGAGAAAATCAAAATTTGAGTGAAATTTCAAAGGGATTTTAAGCAAAATTTCAAGCGAATTCCGAGGATAATTTCTAGTTTATTCCGGGAATAAATTCTGAAATTCTAAAGGAATTTGAGTTCTAAAGTGTTCTGAGAAAAAATCATGAAGAGTTCTAAGCGTAATTCCAGTGGATTTCTGAGAAGAATTACAAAAGAGCTCATAGAGTTCTAAAAATTTCGAAAAGAACCTCAAGGAATTCTGACGATCGACTTTTTTGCAACTGTACAAAGATTAAAGACAGCTTTTGGATTCCTTAATTGAAAAGTGGGTATTAGTTTGCCATTGAACCTTAGTCTATTTTTGTCTTACTAAGAATTAGTCTAAGAATCTTCACACTGGGCCAGAAATGCATTCTAGCGGAGCAAAATTAATAACTCCAAAACGAAGCATTTCCGCGACTTGGTGTTTTGGGTAAAGTTTCTCATCATAATAAGGACCATCTATTGACATAAACAAATAGTTCAAAACTCTTCCGCAAAGATGGCGCCACAATCTAACTTCTAACGCCACAATCTAACTTCTTTCTCTGACGTTTTGGAGACTTGATGTCTTGGGAAAAATTGTTTGCCTTGACAAAATGAACAACTCTTTTCGAGACGTAAAATTTCCACAGCCTACTGTTTCCAAGTTATGTGGAGTTAAAGAAAAAATGTCGAAAATATGTTTTTTTCTTTCTGTTTCGGTTTTTTGCTGACAATCATATAATGTTATATTTTTCTCTTATGCAAATGCATTAAATAAATAACTTTTGTGAATAAACATACTGGTTTAAGTTTCAAATTTTAAAGATATTGTTGAAAAACCGATAAAAACAACAATTTTTGAACTTTAATATCTCCCAAAGCGCAAAAAATCGCAACCTGACATTTTCAGCAAAAATTAAGCAATACTCGATAAACAAAATATCAAAATTTAAGAAAGGTATATTTTGGTGTTTTTGAGATTTCATCATTTTAGTGGAGTATGTATTATTTCTATAATTTTTTTTAATACATTGAAATGGCGTTTTGAAAAATTGACGAATTAGGCAAAGTTGTTTATCTTGATAAAATAAACAACTCTTCTGAAGCTACTGTTTTCGAGTTATATGGAATTACAAAAAAAAATTGAAAATAAGTGTTTTAATTTTAAATATATCGTCTACTACTTGCAGACTTCATCAGTGCCAAGTACTCAACACAGTTTCCATTGAAGAAGATGAACCACCACCGGAGTAAAAAATAAATAAAATTAGCTAAATTGAACAGTAGGGAAACAGTGGTGGGTGGACATCAACATCTCCCACGCACTTGGGAGTACTCCCCATCCCCAGATTAAATGCACCATAGACCAAACAATTGCCCCTCCTTCACAAGATTCCTGTGCACGCTAGTGGTACTTCGTACTGAGGAAGTAAACAAGAAGTGATCGAAGTATGCGTGTTTGTCAAAAACATGAATATTAATGTATAACGGAAGTAAAAGAAAACTACTCATGCCACTCCCAAGCTCTATACAAGAGATTTTTTTTAAATTAGATTTAAATATAAAAACATGGCTTCGAAATCAATTGAAAACTAAATACCTTGAAGTCGAATAAAAAAGTGGTGTTTAGCAAAGTTGTAGCTGATTAAATTTCACATAAGGAAGAATGGTACATAAGGCACCCCGGGTAGAACGCACGTTTTTAATTTTATTTTAAGTTTTTCTTGAATTCCAATTCCAATTGTAGCATGCAGAGTTTCGAGTTTAGATGCTATGCTAGAAGTGCTGCTTGATAAGACAACATAAAAGTTAGGAAAAATCCATGAACAACACAAAAGAAGGTCAGCTGGTGCGTTCTGCCCAGGGAGTGTGTTGTATACCATTGTCCCATAAGAACAAAAATTGCAAGCTTTTCTTATATCATTAAGGACTTCGACAGCAAAAAGTTCACTTATTCCCATAGTAATGCCAATATAAACTTCAAAAGACCAGTGCAGTATGCGTTCACATCCAAATATACTAAAATTTTAGAAGAATGATCAGGAGCTGAAGGAAGGCAACTTGAATGTTCGACGCTAGCATAAAGGGTGTCCTACATCAAATTGCATCACGGGAAAAAAACGCCGTAGAAAATTACCTAGTTAACCGATCCTTTTCAAACTTTCAGACAATAAAATATTAGTCATTAGTAAGCTTTTGGCATTTTCATTTCATTCAACTTCAATACCATAACCATACGCTCGCACCTTACGCTTAACTCCACTCATTAGGTTCTGTACAACATCTGGCTACAGCTTCTTCTGTACGGAAACCCACTTTTTCTTCATGTCTTCCTCAGATTTGACCTCCTTGGGATGCTTCCGTAGTGCCTGCTTCATAATAGCCCTGCATTTTTCAATGAACCTTGGTATGACAGCGATATAAATACAGTGTAAACAATACACTCTAGACTACTTTTAACTAAATTTTCAAATTTTACAGCGTTTTTTTCCGTGATGCTTTTGATGTGGGACACCCTTTAACCAACAATCAATACGAAACTAACGATTTTAAATTGGCTTACTACTTGACTAGCCTATTGGCAAACGATTAACGTACCCCATTCTAGCCGAAATTCTAGTACTACACTATGTTTGTTTTGATTCGGTATGAAAGTTTGACAAATAAAATGAGGGGTTAGTGGATTTTCCTATGTTTCGAGGGATGAATCAACTAGCTTGGGACCGAAGAGAGTACCAGAGCTGAGCCAAAAAGTTGAGCACGTTACTTCTATGCTTTTACTCCTTTTAGGTGTTGAATTAAGGCAGCTTCTACGGCGTTATCCGATGCGTCTGATTCAATTACGAACGAAAAATTGGAATCAAG